ATAGGCGTAATCCAGGGTTAACACAGGATGAAATTGAAGACATGGCTTGGGAGTTGAGTGTTATCAGTCGACGGGTGCAAAACATCGGGGGTCAGTTGCCTCGTCTGCGGCCTAGCCCAGTAAGAGGGAGAAGGACTCATCGTTCGGAGAGTTGCTAGGTTAGAAAGTTGGACTATAGCGGGTGCAAGTATATTAGCGTATCAATGATATAAGTCTTTTTCAAGATGCAAGACGGGGAATTACCCCCTTTCCCCCTTTTTATAGTTATGCGTCTAATGGGTAATTGTTGCAGACGGAGCAGTCCCGGCTAATCATCGGAATTGAGAAGGGAAGGGAAGGAGAGGAGGGATGAAGGCTGATAAGGATAAAGGATAAGGGATGCAATATTTACATCATACAAGTAATAATGAGAAAATATGGAGACGAGCAAGTGGAATGATAGTACCTACCTACCTCATTAGAAGGTACCTAATCAATATTAGGACATCAAATGCCAGACATCATTGATGCAGACATGCCATCTGCATTATCTCCATACATAAAGTCTCCATATCACATGGTGACGGGCATTCTTGGACCAATGCTGCATAAGCCACAACCCATAAACCCATATTTCGTATCAACTATCATGAATACATCAACGCCCTCGCTTTTTCAAATTTCCACCTAACCTTCTCAACTCACGATTCCATGTCTGACACTTAACTTGGGCCCCCATCTTGGCCTCACAAGTTTAAGCGCTAATAAGCAAACTAACAAGCAAAAGAAAACAAGGAGCCCAAGCTAGAAAGATAAGGCCGACAGACAAGTCATCGAGCCCGACCATGATTCCGAGGAAGTCAACATGGATCCCGAGTCAAATGCGCCCCTGGAGCGATCGACGTCACAGCTCTCTGCAGCCTCAACCTCGGCAAAGATGTCCCGAAGCCACTCGACACGCGCAAAGTCGAAGCCAAGGAAGTTGATCTCACAGCCTTCTAGTTCAGCATCGTCCATCGCCGCCTCTGACAAGTCTCTTACCTCCTTCCCCTCATTTTCTCCCCAATCCCCGCGCGACGAGCCATCCTTCACCACCCTCGAGTCGAATACGTCTACTGTAAATGTCGATAGGAAACCTCCCGTGGCTCCGATTAGGACATCCATGGTTGAAAGTTTGACTTCAGCCGAGGCTCAGAAGACAGCGCGCGATGCGCTATTCGATGATGCTCCCATAACAGCATATAAGATACCCGGTGCTCTTCATCATGCCAGCGATGACCATATACAACATCTTATCGCGAAGCACGGGGCTACTAATCTCGTACGCCAAGTCGCCGAGGACCTTGCACACCGCGATATGGAAATTTCCCGACTTAGAAGGAGAGCCGATGAGAGAGAAAGAGCGCTAAGGAAAATAATACGTGGGTGTGGATTGTCAAGCTTAGATCTCGAGACAAAGCTCCGGTCGGTGGAAACAGAGCTTCAGGCGCAGGACAAGATTAAGTATGCTATAAATGGGGATGTTTCTGGCATGATGAACGATGCAATGCACGATTCAATGTCTTACAAAGCACTGGGGATGACAGATATAGACGATAGTACGGTTAGGGCCAACAGTCTATCTGCTCCGAGGGACAGCAACACGGTTAGTAAAGGCACGATGAAAGCATGGAAGGAATATCTATGGGGCGGCGGAAGTAGAAAGGCTAGCAGAGCAGCTAGTATTAACGAAGAGGGCACAAAGACCGCCATCCGTGCATCGACACCAGGAGACCGCCGCCCTCCTATCCAGGAAGACCTCTTTACCCCGCCGGATGCCGAGTCTGTGCAGAGCTCAAGCCGCGCTTCCAGCATCTACTCTGCACATACGAATAGAAAACCCTCATCGTCTTTTGCTAGCATGGCTTTACAGCTAGTGGCTGGAAAAGGCTCCTCGATCCGCGATTCTGAATCTACTAGAGGGAGATCAAATTCGGCCGGTCAGGGCGGTTCCGTAAGGTCATCATCAAATGCTAGCACCAAGACGGGTGCCTCTAACAGGGCCGCATCTACGCAAGGGGGCCCTAAAGCACTCATGTCCATGCGACGATCAACTCCTAAACCTGGAAATCTGCAGTTTTCCAAACCACGTGAAAGGTGGGAAAGCATAGGCGCAAACCCGGAAAGTCCGTCTGCAACGAGGTCAGATAATTATGGCCCGGTCGAGCTGGATACTATATTTTCCCCTGAAGGTCAACCGCCGGCTTTGTCGCAACTCTATAATAACTACAATGGCGGCGAGTACTTGATCGATCGCTTCGGCTTTATTTATGACCAACGTCGAAAAAAAAGACAGCGTGAAGCCGCCAAGGTCGCTTCACGGATGAAGAATGGACATGAGATGCTTTCTAGCGGGAGATCTAACCTCTCGCCTAACCTACTTGATGACGACGCAAGTTCTAGCGGGGATGCTAGGAGTGATGATCGTCCGGAGAGCCCGACCTCTATTGAGGGCCTTGTTGAACAAGGCAAGGCGAAGCGATGGCAAGATTATCTTAAGATTGCTACCTTCCCTACGGAACTTTTATCACATACTCCATCTATAACAGCTCCAAACATAGAGGTGCTTGAAGGAAATGGATCCAAATCCCCAGGACTAATTAATACAGACGACCGCGGATTTGTCCCGACTGCGACCACCGCCACTGCGGCTCTGGATAGGGAAACGAGCCCAGCAAAATCAGAGGAAGAATCAACTACAGCTACGGCTACGCTAGTTCACGAGGATGTTGAACCAGTTAAACTTTTATTAAAGCAGTTAAGTGACGTTCACGACACGCTACAGAGAGAAAAGTCTGTGCGTTGGAATGAGTTTTTGAGAAAGGTACGCGCTGAGCGCCGACGTGAGGGCGAGGCTGCGGCTGCTACTGCCGCCGCCGCAGCCGAAGCTCGTTTCCAGACAGCTCCAGTTATGATTCCCGAAGCCAAACTCACTGATGGCGAGACTATTGGTATCGCAGACCTTGGGGTGAAGGGAAAAGTTGGGCGCGCTAAATGGAATGAGTTCAGGAACCTGGTGCTCGGCGGTATCCCCGTGGCGAACCGCCCTAAGATCTGGGCAGAATGCTCTGGTGCCCTCTCTAAACGAACCCCCGGCTACTACAGTGATCTTATCTCGCGGCCTAGTGAACTTGATGATGCTGTCGTCATCTCGCAAATCGAAATGGACATCAACCGTACGCTTACCGACAACATATTCTTCCGTAAGGGGCCCGGTGTCGCCAAGCTCAATGAAGTTCTTCGGGCATATGCTAGGCACAACCCCGAAGTAGGATATTGCCAAGGCATGAACCTAATCGCTGCGAACTTGCTGCTAATCATGCCATCTGCCGAAGATGCCTTCTGGGTGTTCGTATCGATTATTGAACGTATCTTACCGCAGGGATATTATGACCACAGCTTAATGGCTTCGCGCGCGGACCAGCACGTGCTACGCCAGTATGTAAGCCAAGTCTTGCCAAAGCTGTCTCAGCACCTCGATAAGCTAAGCATCGAGCTGGAGGCTTTGACATTCCAATGGTTCCTAAGTGTCTTCACGGACTGCCTATCAGCCGAGGCATTGTTCCGCGTATGGGATGTAGTACTATGTATCAACGATGGTAGCACGTTTCTGTTCCAAGTCGCATTGGCGTTATTAAAACTAAATGAGCGCCAACTACTGCAGTGTGATACGCCTGCCGCAGTCTACACGTACATCAACCACCAGATGACCAACCACGCCATCAGCATCGACGGCCTGATCCAGGCCTCCGAGGGCTTGCGTCGCGTCGTTCGCCGCGAGGACGTGGAGGAACGCCGGAATAAGGCTATCGAGGCCGATAAGCAGATGGCACAGGAGCGTGAGGAGCGAAACGTGAAACGTCGCGCCGAGCAGAATTCGCAAAAGAGCACGTCAGTGCCTGCGCCCACCACCGAGTCTGGTGCTTCTGCAGCCCCGAATCTTGCCGTGCAGGCCGAGAACGAGAGCAGTGGCGTGACTGGGTTGAACATCTTGGATGCGGTCGGGGAAGAGGCGGAGGAAGAAGGTACCAGACCAGCACGGACCCCGGCAGAGGAGGAAACATCGTTTGGGCTAGGGTAAAGGGCGACGGGAATGGTGATACCGGAATACGATTGAGAAAGTATGAGTACAAACCCGTAAAAGAATAAGGCCAAAGAAGTGTTTTTCCCGGCGCAGAATAAGTGGCAGTAGGTAACTGGTCGGCTGGTGGACATACGAGCACTGTTACTCTAAATTGCTGGCGGCTTCTTGCATTGATATCGCACACGGGAGTTTGCTTTTTCTTTTTTTCTTTTCTTTTGCCGTTCTCCCCGTTTTAGAGATTGGACCATGCTTGCATGCCATGATACCCCCTCTCGGTCGCAAAGTTCTATTTATTTTTTCTTTCCTATTCCTGTCATAAACAGTTTAGTCGGAAGGATGGAGCAGCCGGACATAGCTGATAGATGTTATTCAGCCGCATGCAGAAAGGGGGATGGATGAGAGGCCTGAGTACAGCGAGGGCGGGCAGATAGGAGATAGTATTAAGTGCACGGGATGAGATGCCTTGCATACTATTCCTGCTGTCATGTGGCGAAGCTATATAAGGCAGAAGAAGGCGACGAGGCGCCTGCAGGTGAAGAGGATTATTTGTATCCGAGTGCGACAGAACGACGGCGCTATCAATACGGAGCCGGAATTCAAGGACAGTTCATACTTACCGTTAGCCCAATCTCTCTCGGAATATTTGCGTTTTCCATGATTCCCTAAGGCCGCGTACACGTAAGATACATAAATTAATATGTATATCTAGTAGTTAGCTGAAGAGTCCAACGTAAGTCCCAAGATGCCACGAAAATAAAGTCTATAAATACCTAGGTTAGGTACCATCCAGCCGAGATTATGTGTCAAAGCACAGGAACAAAATGAAATATCTGCAAAAATAAAAATTTAAATAAATAAAAAATGAATAAAAAAAATTTAAAGAACAAGAAAAAATAAACTCCGAATCGGGGAATCGAACCCCGGGCTTGACGGTACTTCAGATTCAAAGAACCTTTTTGAGAGCGTCAAATGTTGGCCACTACACCAATTCGGATTTCAACTACCATTGGATGGATGAAAACCCAACATGCTATTTTTCTCTATGTATATGCCGCGGGTAGGTGCATACTTAGCGCCTTATCTGCGACACATGCAACGCAGATTTTACTATATAAGGTACCTAGGTACCTACCTACCTACCTAGGTACGAATGACAGATAATTTTGCGTTTTACTTATTGGAGAATGCTTTTTCTACAATTAGATGTTAATTACAGGAATTCTATCAGTGTAAGTGTCTATCGGTGTAAGTCAAACGTAGGTACATAGGTACCTACCAACATAATACCCCTTAGTAGTGTCAACCCCAAAAGAACCATCAACAACTTCACATAAGATGTAACTACCTAAATACGAAGTGGAAATAGGGGTGAATTCTCATGCGCCACGTCTCCACGGCTAGAATGCAACTCGATTCTCTTGATGGCTTTTTTTTCTTCTTTTTTACAAAGTGCCGCGCTCCGCGAATAGTAGTGGCAATAGCAAGCGATGCTCAATATCTACACGTTAAAAACTCATTAAGAACTTCGCGACCTCTTTCTCCCACCGCTCTCTGTGTCAATCCTAAGCTCCGCTCTGCTCAACTCATCAATCACATCTCAACCAGACTACTTACTATCTATCCTAAGCATAGCGCTAAGAGGAATAGGTCTGGAACAATCCTATGTTTGCTAGGCACAAACGCCGCGCCCCATTATTCTGAAGTTTTGTGACCTTTTTTATACACGAGTCTCCCTAATCAGACTCAGATGTACCCCCTTGCCATGCATGCATTAACCAGCTTCTCCAATGATATAGATGCGTCTTGTGCAATAGTCGAGAGCATCGCCATGAATTCGTCCGTCTAGCCTGAGATGCTCGTTCTGCCGAAGAATAGCTCCACCAACTCCCTAACCGAGTGGCATGTTATTACTAAAATTCCCCTTGCATATTCCCTGTGAACACCTTTAAGTAGTACGCATTACCGCGCGAAGACCTTGACGACTCCGTCTCCCCCGCCACTAACAACCCATCGACCGTCATGGCTCCATACGACGGCGCATACGCCCTCTCCTCTCATGATTCGGTGGCTAGTAATCTCTTGGGTACAGTTTCGTTTTTCTAGAGACCAGAATCGAAGGCTTGCATCGTGGCCAGCAGATACGAGCTCGCGGCCATCGGGGCTCAGAGACAGGGACGATATTGATGCCGGGTGGGCGAGCATGTTATATGTGCATTGACCTTCAAAGAATTAGCGATATGCATACTTACGGTATCTCCTCTGGAAACTCACCGCTATTGGCATCAAAGAACCTAATAAAGCGGTCTTCATGCCCTGATATAATAACGCCCTCGACCCCGCTACCAGCTGTTCCCGTACCACCAGTTGGACCACTAGCATCTTCATCACCCAGGCCTGGTCCAGAACTTTGATCAAGGCCCGCTGTGGTTGCGACGACAGCATTAACGCTCGTGCCAATCGTGTTGTCGTACGTCTCAAGGCTAGCCATGGAGCCGATCTCCTCACCGGTTTTCGTATCGAACACAATAATAGCAGCGTCCGAATAACTGACCACAAATGCCTCCCCACTAGCTGATAACGGGGTAATGCATGTCGGTGACGCCCGGGATCCGTTAGAGCGGCGGATGTCATGTATTAGTGTATAGTAAAACGGCGAACTCGAAGCCATGTTTGGTTGAGGCGAGTTTGGGAACTGGGATCCAGAGCTCATAGAGTTGCCTCTGACTCGACCGCTTCCGGTGCTCCGTCTCGGCGGTCCCGGTTGAGGTGAGGTGAGTTGTGGCGGTGCACTAACGCCCCAGATCTTCACAGCACCGTCAGCTGCTCCAGAGGCGACTAGGATGCGATCCGGGGTGCCGTAAGGGTTTGATTGGCCAAAGATAGCGCCGAGAGTGGCAGGAAGTACGCATATAGCCCAAACAGCGTCGCTATGACCGTCAAGCGTCGCCTTCGGATCTACCCTACCCCGTTCCCATACTCTAATGGTCGCATCTTGCCCACCGGAGAATATCCATCCATCGCCTTGGGCACGGCCGCCGGTCGAGAAATTAGGAGAAGGAGACCAAGATGTCAATGATAACACGGCGCCAGTATGTCCACGGTGAGTGAAGTCAGCTGGCACATCGAGATCAGATGACACGGCCCCAATATGGCTTGGATTCTCACGTGGAATGTGGAAACGCTTGATCAGTCCGTCGTCACCTGCTGTGCAGATTTCTGGCTCTCCGGGACTTCCACCTCCGGAAAATATTACGGTTCGGACGGTATTAAGATGGCCACGCAGTCCATATCGCAACTTAAAACTCCCACTCTCTGATTTCTGCACAGCACCATTCAGAGAGAGCTCCTGCTCCGCGCTTTTCCTGCGAGACATAGACGTCTTCCGCCTGTGAGAATTGGGGCCACGATTGGGAGACTGGGGGACGCTTTCAGCGTTGGGAAACACGTCCGTGTCCGGACGGTGTGTAAGAGGTTGTAATTGCTGCCCCGCAGCTGTATCGGGGAAGGTTCCTTCGCCAAAATCCCAACCATCCCCTTCGACTGGCGCTCGCTTCTCTAGCGGACTTTCACTAAACTCAGAGCGCAGAGGCTCATTGAAATGATTTGGTTTTGCATTTGGATCTTCTTGCATACGAGCACCCGGTTGATTAGAGGCCGGCCACTCACCGGGGTGCGAGTACATCGGGGCGGCACCCTCCCCTGATCGAATCATAGGGGCGGATTGTAAGTTCGGATTCTCTGACGTTGGCAAGTTAACGCTATGCGGCATTCTCTGGCCATGATGATTATTCATGTTTACAGCACCCTGGCGGGGCGCCGGGTCCCTCGCATGGTTTTGACTCAGTCTCAATGCCTGGAAAGCTGTATCGAGCGGTTGTTGAGAGATAGGTAGTCCAAAGTCTCCTTCTCTCAAGTCGTCCATCATAGGCAAGGGCGGAGATTCTCGAGGAGGCATAGGATTAGCGGGTGAGACCATTAGATAGGTGAATTCGGCTTGGCACTGGTCCAGAAAGACCCTAAGGTTGTCGCGTTCCTCGTCCTCCTGTACACGCTCGCCAACAAGACCTTCCAAGCCGGGCACCAACTCTTTCGGTCTCTCGTCTGATGCTAGAAATGAAGTCAATACTATACACCCATATAGCTTTTTATCTCAATACGTACATTTGAGCTTCTCCTGTATCAAGGCAGCCCTATCGATCTTCTGGGGTTGCTTCACGGAGTGGTCCGTGGCGGAAGCAGCAGAAGAAACCTTCAGCTTTGCAGCCTGGTCTTTAACCTTCTTCTCCAGGATAGTGACATATCTTTTTAATGCCTTTTGTGTAGCGTCCGCTCTCCTAGCAGAACCTTCGAGGGCGGCTATTCTACCCTTCATCTCCTGACGCTCGATCTCCCAGGCGTTTCTATCTCGCTCGTGTCGATGCCACTCGGTTTGAAGGAAGCGCATAACACCTATTCATCGAGCGCATGTGAGTTAGCCGAGAGGAATCCAAGATATAGACTAGATATGAGTCAAATATACCTTGTAATGTGTACTCGGTAGCATGCGGCTGATTTGACTGATTGCCGGGGAATCCTCCGCCAGATAGCTCCTGGCCGCCGCCGAGACCACCGGCGCCCGGCATACCGGACCCATTCCCACCGTTTCCCATAGCGGAGACTTGTTGCCAACTCATGGAAAGTCGAGTTTCCGGCTTACCAGATTGACGGTGTTCAGCCCTCACGACCGTCTTCACCGTTTAGTTTGAGGCCGACTTCTCAACATGCGCATTTGCGTTGCAAGTGCCCTCCACGAAATACGACTTTACGTCGGAGAGGGAGAAGATGCGACAGTGGGGAAATCAATTGGCCCAACGTCTCATGAATAGAATAGAACAGATCGTTAACGTGATAGGTAGGTACGTTTCTCGTTCGCGGAATAGTGAATATTCGAATAAAGTCGTGGTTGCAGAAATAAGAAAGGAGCTCTCGTTCGTGGGGGATTAGAAGAGGAAGAAAAAAAAAGAATTAAACAAGGTCAGTAATGAGCGAAGAGAATCGAGATAATAGAAATTGTTTGACCCGAAATAAATGCGTCGCAGTGCAATATAGCGAGCCACTCGGCGGTGCGATTTCGTTTCGTGCCGTAACGCGTGATGGGAATATCCCGACGTTATGTTATCGTCAGTCTAGATGGTAGAAGTCAAGAATTCCGAGACGTGATGGATTTGGAAAGCTGTCAGGTCCAGGTCGGCTTGGTGGCCCTGCGAAGAGGACAGTACGTAGGTAGGTACTAAGGTTCTGGCGTACATATCTGTACATATTCTTGGTACGTACATGTATTCCCCAAAACTTGTGCCAGATTAGGTCATTGCCGCCCCGAACCACTCCTAGCTCGGCCAATCAAGTAACTGCCACGCAAGGCGAAGTCAAAACTTCCCCTGAAAGCTTGTGTTATCAACTGTGTTTATCTGTGATATCTAAGCTCGGACCACTGTAGCACCTAAGCCTGCTAAGCCTGCTAAGTTTGGTTTGAGGTCCTTGCAGAATGGGATATTATGTAAGCCGCCGCGATCTCCGATGTCGACAACCAAATGCGAATACATAGCTGCATCACCATCGACCATCCTGCATTTCACCTCAAGCAGCCCGATACGTTTCTCTTACTTTTCTCTCATTCTCCCCCTATGACCCCACTCCATTGTTAACAGTATACTATGTAATACCGCTCCTAATTACACCCCGGATGTCAGTGTCACATTAGTATTACATTCTCTCGCTCATATGACCATACGGCGTCCATAGCCTTGCCTAAGTTGTAAGCGCTCTGGCATTTCGGCCGGTAGCTCGAGCAAGGCTTTCTCTATCAGATTGCTAGCAGGTGGGATATGGGACTAATACCATACACCGCTTCTTTTCTTGCCACTCGAAGTGCACCTTTTGAGGCCTCTCGTTTTCTAACGACTTAAGATCTTCGCATATGCGATCCAACCTACGTTTAGCTCATAACCATTATTT